GGGGGGGGGGGGGGGGGGGATTTTTGCCAAATAATTTTTTTGGCAAAAAACGACCAGCACCCTAAAATTTTGTCGCCCGTATGCATATGATTACACATAGCACCATCAGTGCATCCAAGTAGTCCAGTGGGCCAATCTGGCCATCAGTGGCTTCACACCGAGCAACCTGGAAAATTGCTTGACCAAAGTGGTAATCTAAACTCATAGCTCAATTGAAAGTGCAATGCCTTAATTAGCAAACCAAAGCTTATGGGTTGAATTTCCACATTATTTCGCTTTCCCACTCTGAGTTGCATCATGGATAAAAATATCACCATGTACCTGAGGACTCCACTTGCAGCTTCTTGTACTTTCTCATCGTTATCAAGTATCAAAGGAGCAACTCTTCGAACAATCTCATGTTTCATGAGAGAAGGAACTTTGTCAGGTTCAAGGACAAGGTTTGCCAAACCAGCACAAGCATGTGCACGTTCTTCCAGGCAATTCAACTTAAAAAACGAAACATTTATGGTCTTCTGAGAATGCTCCAAATCTGCAGCAATGTCAACATTAGGCCATATAAAAAGTTATTTTGCAAAACATATGCAAAATGGATTAACCCTTTTAGTGGCAATGTACCCTGGTATAGTACTTGGAATTTGAAACTATAAGAACCCAGTTTGAGGAAAAATCTTTGACAATATATACATTGGGAAATCTAGTTTTCACATACATTCGGTTGTATACCATTTCTTGATATATTTTTCCACCCTCCCTCCCCCCATTTCAATGTTGGTGTCTCGGAACCAGACATTAGATTATTGTCGACCCAACATTGAACTGGGGGAACGGGGGGCACTATGCCTTTCAAATTATGTGAAATTACAGCACCTGTCCCATAGTTTTTGTCAAAGATTGTACATACAAATTGAAAGATGTAACAATTAATAGTAATTTATTAGTAATAATAACTATTGATATTTAAAGGATTAGTTTTGCGGGCTTAATTAAATTCCTGCTGGCACACCAAATAGATCAATTCTTCAACTACTTGCATGCCAGTTTGGTACCAAAATGGCCACAATTTTATTGTTTTCAAGGTATTTTTTATATCGTTTATACTTGTTGATTTTGGGTAAGTTTATAAAAACAATAACAATGTGACACTAATCCTTTAAAGTTTACAGTGATAAAACTACAAACATTTATAATTGAATTTTCACACAAGACGAAAGTATCGCACAAACTAGTAGACCAAATTGGCAAATACCTTTTCTAAAATAGGCAAAGTTTTCTCATCCAAACTAGAACTCCCCTGATCTGCCTCCCGCTCTTCGGCTTCTTGGACACTAATCATGCCTGTTGGTTTAAGTCTGTTTTTCTTCTTGTTTTGCTTGAATTTACCCATGTTTAAATATTTTACAATGGCACTATTGATATTTTTAAAATTATACTTTTAATTAAAGGAAATATTTATATCGTTCCACGTGATTCACATGTTGCGAAATTTTGTACACCCCCGATTAGCGCTTTTGACTCCGACTGACAGCGGGAAAAAATGTCTCTGATTGCTCGGCTGCCTCAAACAATACGCGCATTTTGGGAAACTGGTTCTGGAGCATTGATGTTATTGTTTTGTGATGGGAAAACCAATAAAATTAGCGTACGAGATTAGAGAATGGCTAAACGGAGATTTATTACAGGGAGAGAACTACCTGAAAGATAACAAGGAGAAATTCGACGTTTCGAGCGAATAGTCGAATAGAATTCGAGCGTCGGATAGTTTATAGTCGAGGGCCTTCGCTCGAAACATCGAATTTCTCCTTGTATTTTTCAGGTAGTTGCATCCCAACCAACGAAAGCTTGTGATTATTGGCACTACCTACACTGGCACAGACGGTTCAATATTACAGGGAGATTTAAATAGGGGAATTTCGGAGAATTAAGTTTCAGCCACGCCCACTTTTCCCAACGACCACACCCAATTTCTTAAAACTCTCCCGACGTTGCGTAACTCTCTCACGTCAAAAAGTCATATGTGTCAGTTGTCAAACCCCATTTCGCCATATCTGTGATCTATCTATCACAGGAAAAGTTGTAATTGATTGCAAGCTTTCCGTACCGGCGCGAATGAGCGACGGACATGGAATGTGCAACTTTCAGAAGCTGAGCGAAACAACACAGGATAGGATGGGTGTTTTTCACGTCGTTCCCAGGGCTTTTCTGAGAGCCACAAACGCAAACCACCAATTTCGAACCGAAGCCAATGCCGAAGCTTACAAAACTATTTTACTCTCCTACGAGGCTGAGATTAGAGGCAGTGACGTTAGTCCTGTGGTTATGTGGCACATTCCAATCACCACTTGAACTTCGAAAACGATATACCAACAACGAATGAATATTCTCCATTATTAAACTGAAACAACAATAGGCTATTGCGAATATTAAGACCAAAAATACTCCACTCATATCGGCGGCTGTCAACTGGGGATGCTCGTGAGATGGTTTTTTACACAAGGGATAACTTTGTTTCATTTTCCACCAATCTTCATTTCTCTTGTTTTCATTCATAGCCAGTTCTTGAAGCTTAAATTCCTCAGCCCAGGGCCAGTCTGTGCGAAACATAAATCCAACCGCATTAACGGAGACGTCTCTGCCTAATAGTGCCAACGAACAGTTGGGATCTTCGTTTAAAATTGTCACGAGAGAGACGGTGTCCGCTATGAAGCCATCAAGAGTGCTGAAAATATTTGCAAACATTTCTTATCAAAGATTCCTTTTTTCCGTTCATTAAACCCTGACTATTTCGTCGATATGCATGTAACCAATAAAAGTACAAATAATTGTGATACAAAATAATCTAGTCTAGAAAGCTGATATATTATGTTAGTTCTGTTTTTTAGGAAAACTAGACAAAACTGTTCAAGTATCCTTACCCATTCTTGACTGCTTTGACCCCCTCATCAAGAGATGGTAACAAGTTCTCTTTGATAGTGTTTTCAAAAGTTTGCTTTAAGACTGGATTACGAGTGTTGTGGAAAAAAGCTTCCATTGAGGTGCCTTTCACCACGCCTAGTTTCAGCTTCTTATTCAAAATCTAGAAATAAAAAGAGTATACTAATAAAATAAATCAATATTAATATTAATAATTTTACCAATATTAGAATCTCAATAATTTTACTAAGTCCAAATCTTAAAACATCTGAACCTGAAATCCAAGCAATTTGTCACGTGGTGGGTAGCCATTCAGTACACGCGTAAAAACGTTACAGGTCTGCAAACAAGTTGTTACAAATCTGTTCACAAGTTGTGTTCGCACTGCTTGTTCCCAGTTGTTGTAACAAGGTTGGAACAAGCTGATAACAACTTGTAACCAGTTTGATGGCATTATCAGACTTGTTACAAGGTTGTTCTAACAAGTCTTATACAATTGTTTTTGTTTGTGGAAACACCACGTAAATTTATTACTGCGAAGCTTTCGATCCGTAAGCCCGGATCTTCATCAGTGCTAATAATATGTGACTTGTTGAACTTATTGTGACTTGAAAGCTTTGCAGTAATAAATTTACGTGGTGTTTCCACAAACAAAAACAATTATATTTTATCGCCATGCAAACACTCAAAGAACTTATTAAGTCTTATACAATCGTGATATAACAAGAATGTTACAAGCTTGACGAAACAAAGTTGTAACAATATTATATTATGACTGTATCGGACTTGTTGGAACAACCTTGCTACAATTAAGTCTGATAATATCAACAAGCTTGATGACAACTTGGGACAAGCACTGCTGATTTGTGCATGATGTTTACCTCAGGATCTTGCAAACTGGTAAATGGCTTAGTCGGTTCTTGTTTCACAATTTCAGCCATTAATCTCGCTACGTAGACGTTGACAAATATCAAAGATAGAAACGCTAACCAACTGGATAGATAGCGAGCACTCAGAGTCAATGGTTTCTTACTATCACCTACGTCGCGTCCAAAAGCTGTCGCCCAAACATAACTCGTTGATTCTAGAAAGAGAACAATGTTTTCTCTTCAACAATAAATTGCCCATTTCAATGGATACTGAGCCCCGTTTCAAACGTCGTGCTTCTCGCGTGCCGTTGAGAAGTCAGAAGCCTCGTTATCGATTGTTGTTAATGCGTTCGGCACATGAGAAGCACGACGTTTGAAAGGGCCTGAAACTACACACGTACAAATCTCACAACTTGTCAACAAGATGTGTTCACAACAGGCTTGTAGCAAGCTTGTCAACAAGATGTAAAAATGCTGTTATTTCATCATGTTGCTACAAGGTTGTCACTCACAACTTGTTGACAAGTTGCTGAATTGCAGGACGATAACAAGTTGTTGGAACAACTTGTAACAAGTCTGTTGAGCTCAACAACCTTGTGGCAAATTGTCAACAAGCCGTTGACAACTTGTCAACAAGTTGGGAACAAGCAGTGCGAACACAAGTTGTTGGAACAGCATTGCTACAAGTCTGCTGCAGGTTTGTTACAACTTGTGCGTTTTTACGTGTGTAACAAAGACACGTAAAAACGCACAAGTTGTTTCAGGTCTGCAAACAAGTAGTTACAAATCTGTTCACAAACTGTCGACAAGTTGTGTTCGCACTGCTTGTTCCCAGTTGTTGTAACAAGTTTGGAACAAGCTGTTAACAACTTGTAACAAGCTTGATGGCATTATCAAACTTGTTACAAGGTTGTTCTAACAAGTCTGATACAGTCATGATATAACAAGAATGTTACAAGGTTGACGACACAAGGTTGTAACAATATTGTTATATCAAGACTGTGTCGGACTTGTTGGAACAACCTTGCAACAAGTCTGATAATATCAACAAGGTTGTTACAAGTTGTTAACAGCTCGTTCTAAACTTGTTGACAACTTGGGACAAGCAGTGCGAACACAACTTGTTGACGGCTTGTTGGCAGACTTGCTACAAGATGTGAGATTTTTGCGTGTGTAGGTGGAGGTCTGGTTAAATATCTGGATTTTGGTCATCTTACTCGATGGCACCAATTATTAAAGGAATTTGTAGATGAAAATTTCGAATGTGTACATTTTTCATACATTTATTACACCTAACCAGGAGCATTTGTGAAAAATGCAATTATAGCCCCCCCTGGCAGGAATCAAACCTGAGGCCCTGCGATTCCGGTGTAGCGCAAGACTAAAGGCCCATATTTTTTTCCGCAGAAAGAAAGTAAAATTTGATTGGCAGACAAAAATTTTCCGTCAAAATTTTTTTTTTGAAATTCCGAAAAAAAATTTGAAGTTGAAAATTTTCAACTTTTAACAATAAAAGTTTCGGAAAATTTTCTGTCCGTGGAAATTTTTCTTGAGTGGACCTGAGCTACAGAGTCCAGTTGTCGACTGTGACCACTTGTGGACACTGATGGATTAGTTCAGATACTACTCACCAAGCAATGTAAATTTCTCTCTCTTCCTACCAAATCTCTTGTTTCTGTAGGACAAACATATTTTATCTGTTGCCCAGATAAGAAACAGGAAAACATTGAATATCATGAGAACAACGACCAAAAGATCAACATGAAATGGATTGAGAAATATCTGAAAGTTTCCAACCAGCGCATGAAAAGAATCTAAAGTTTAAATGAATGATTTTATATAGAACAGAATCAGGCAACTTCCATGCAGACAGACCTGGAAAAAAAGTTGCCTTCGTAAGTAGATACGTCCTTTCGATAATTACGTCATTTGGCCTGGGAGCCTCGTTCTTATGAATTGTGAGCCAATCGCCTTGCGTAATTTACTGATGAGAGCGAGGCTCCAAGACCAAAAACGTATGTGTGACGTAATTATCGAAAGGGCGTGTTAAGGAATATCTTTAATTTTTCACACATACGTTATAGAAGAATCTTAAGAAAACATTCTATCATATTTCCTTATATGTCATAGTTTACACTCGTCACAACCATCAAACTGACGTGACTTTTTCAAGTTGATGAGTTGGGGTTAGGAACTTAGGATAGGGTTTAGGTTAGCTACATAGCCATGTAACACAAACACAAACTCACAGTCAAGTACATGTAAACTTTGTTGTTGCACTGATACAACATACAGTGGTGAAATGTACGGTCAAATTTTTTTACGAAATTTCGAGGAACATTTGAAAAAGGCAAAATTTATGATAAACTACACCGAGTAACTGAACAAAGGTATATTGTAGCTCAGTTGGTAGAGATTCCCACCAAGTGTTTTTCAGCTTGCCTGGTGTGGAGGTACTCAGAGGAGGATCATGGGGCAAAAGTGCAACAAAGAGTACAGTCTATTATTAGGTTTATGGCAGCCTAGACCTAGGCCTTTACTCGGCTGGCTTTGGCAGAATTGGTCATTTTCGGTCTAGCATTTGGTATTTTGGGCTAGCATTTGGCAAATCGCCTAGGTCCCAGTCTTCTGATGTGAAAAAGCGCTGAATATTAAAAAATAATAAAAATAGAAGGCCCAGGTCGGGTTTGTGGTATACAGATATCGAAGGAACAGCAGTCTCAGTCTCCATTTTTACGGTTCGCCTTTGTTTTAGAACAAATACTTTGACCGTCTATTACCTTTGTCAGGACTGTCAGTTTCTGCAGAAGATTCCAATTTAATAATCACATTGATGCCATCAAAGAGATAACCCACCGAGCAGTCCAGTACACCACAGCGGTCAGGGACGATACTCAAGTCTACCGATATATCACCTTTTCCGCTTATAATGTCCTGGATCATACCATTCCATTGACCAGTCATGTTATCATACACACCAAAGAGTTTCTCAGCTTGAAAGTACAACTCAAACTCATAGGACAATTTGGCAGTAAGATAGATTAGGATATCCACTGTCCAGCCCGAGCAGCAGTATTTATCAGCATATTTTTTCACCTAGAAGGGACGATATGCGAAAGGTTTAGTTACAGTTTAGTTCAGTTACACTATAGGAGGGGCAGAGGGAGGGGAAACCGCTCCCGACACGCAATAATTTCTGAAAGCCTTTGAATGATATGTAAATAAATGCATGTAACAAAGCCGTAACAAAACAATTCACTATGAAAGCATTGTTAGATGCTATAAATTAAGCTATATATTGCATGAAATTTAAGGCAGTTTAAAGAACTAAGCTTCCAGGCTACAAAAGGTGGTCCATATGTTAGCAACTGTCCCTTTTCCCTTCCCTCCCCCTCCCCCTCCTCCTCCCCCACTGTTTATTTTATTTTTACTATAAGTTTAGTCCATAATTTGAGTTTTGAAGATGTTTTCAATTTTTGTTTTGTATTTTTTTTCTTAAATTGTCGGCTGGTTCTGTCTCGTACTAACCGTGGTCTCATCAGTTTTTCGGTGTTGCCTGTAACAAGGCAAAGAGCTAATTGGACATTTTGTGTTGAAGCGACTTAATTCGTGTTTTACAATATAGGGAAAGTATTCGACTATCGGCACACGGAACACAGTGTGAATATTGGGGTTGAGTGTGACGTTGGCTGATCCTTCTTGCGATGAGCATGGTTGAATGGTCTCCCCGTTCCATGTTGCAATACGTTTCCAAGTTATTTCTCCAATGTAGTGGTCTGTTGTTAACTGCACAACATCAGTAAAGCAATTGTGTAGGCTGATCTGGCATTCCTGGTTTTTCACACTGAAAGAATATAAAAATATTTATTTTGAGAAGAGTTGGTGTTTTAGAAATATCTATACTGGATGAGCGTCACACTTTGAGCGATGTTATTTAGGGTTATGGTAGAATGGGCACCACAACTGAGATGGCGATTTTTATATTTTGTTAGGCGGTTACGGATTTTGCCGAGTCGGACCTCTGTACCATATATGACCAACCTCGTTCTCAGGCTCTTCATTGCATGAAAAACTTACCTGAACCTGCGTCCTCTTTCAACTTTCTGAACACTGTATTCGAACATAGCAGTCGTACTTCGGTTGTCTGATTCCGTTAAATTATCACGGTGAAAGCGGTCTTTTCCCCAACAGCTCTTCAATACATGGGATGTCTTTCGCAACACATGACGCAAGGCACACATTTGATTGTGGTTACAATGTACTGAATTGCTCCCTCGAAACGCCAACACCTGAGAACTCTCACGAAAAGTCTGCATATTGCTGAAATCCAAATGGATAACTGGAAAAATCCATAAAATTTTATCAAATTGTTCTCCTAATATCCGTCGTGCTAAGTTTATCAGGCTCTTTAAACGAAAATCATCGGTGTATAGAAATCCTGACACGAAAGTAGCACCTGATGTGATGTTGTTATCCATGTTCCGTGCAACGTTTTCGAGTTCATTTTCAAGTTGGTTTTCTTTATCAGATTCTACTCCAACCCAAAGCGTACGGTGAAGTTTTAACTTCTGTCGCTGAAGTTCAAAAGATAAATCCTGATAAAATTCTACTCCGTATGCATCGGCAGAGACGAGAAGATAAAGTTGTCTTTCTTTGTGGACTTTTTTGATAACTGCAGACGTACCGTTTGCCTGAGTAAGAAAAGAGAATATATCATAAAACTAAATATATTTATACTTAGGATCAGAGTTCTGTCAGTTCTAGACTCTTCTCCCTAGTGATCCAGCAAGGGTCATTTGCCGTAGTTCGAATGCTACTGTGGAAGCCTATAAAACATATACTTACTGTAAATAACGGTCGCTCACAGCTGGAAACAGACTTGATACTAAGAATATCCAGAAAGAACAACAATTTCTCCTCACATTCGCAATCCTCTAGTAGTAATACCACAACTTCATAGGCTAATATCCCATCCATAAATTCCAGGAATGTGCCAAGATCACAGAACGTGGAATTCAAATCTTTGTAAACAAAATTGACATTTTCATCGATGTCCAACATAGATGGAATTTTCTCAAATGATTTTTTAATAGCTATAGAGGATGTTGCAGTGCTTGGACTTTGAGGCTTAGCGCTGTTGAACAAAACTGCAATCATAATTTGACAAGATACACCTGTGTTCTCGCATATGAATAATGTTACAAAGAAAAATAAGATTTGATGACATTTTCGACTAGATGACATATTCACCTCCGACAACACCGTTTTAGAGATTGCATCTGTAGCTGGTAAAAAAAAATAGCCGAAAATCTATATAGACAGTGTCAGCACATAAAACCGCTTGAGAGCGCCAGCAAATTCAGCATAAGCCGGAAACCAAAACCATCAAAAGCAGCTTCATAAATTATATTCATTCTTCAGACAAACATGAATCGATGACAAGTTAATAGTTTTCCAAATGCTTCCAATATGGTAATTTAAGTCACTTTCATACATACATACATACATATATACATACATACATACATACATACATACATACATACATACATACATACATACATACATACATACATACATACATACATACATACATACATACATACATACACAAACAGAACGCAAATGCCGAAAGGTGTCAAAATTCATGAGAGTATTGCTGCTGCGTTTTAATTAAACGTTATGTCGTAATTTGGGAATAATCTTGTTGCGCGCGTCAAAAACACAGGCTGCGGTCGCTGGATAGTGACTTCGTTGATTAGAGATCTCAGCATGCGTATTGCATGATTGTGAAGAGTTCTTGTATAAAATGATTTTTAACATCTGTATGCAATAAACATTTGGAAGAAGGTTATTCCCGAAAAGTTAGAGTTTCATTTGAAAGTCCCTCGTCTGCATTTAGTTTCAGTCGTATGCAGGCCCTGAGTATTTTCTGGACGCGTTTTGCTGAAATTTTCTTTATTGAATCGTCTAGATTATTAATTAATAATGGAAAAAAACTGTCAGTTTTAATTTATAGTTTACTGAATATCGTATTCAGCTCGCTATGATTGCTTCAAGGCTCCCAAGATTAATCTTGGTTTGCAAGTAATGAATTTTGACATTTTTTGATTAATGTACATTAAAGTGGCTCATCCGTAGTAGATTATTCATTCGCAACTGTCGTAAGAAAGAGATACGGACAATCGGCAATATTATCATATCAACTGAATCACGCATGTTAAGAAGAGCAGCTGGCCGAGCCGTGTGTTTTGCAGGCTGTGTCACGAACCGTTAGAACCTGCGAATGGGCATATAGGTAGGAAGATGGTACGAAATTAGATACAAGTATAGTATCCACGATTAGATCTCCAATATCTTCAAAAAGTCAATTAACAACAGTAAACATGCATGCAAAATTAATACAAGCAACAGTCAAGAAATATTATCATAGGAAAAACCAAGAAGTCGATCTTCTGTTTGTCTCTATTCTGTGCCAGTGTTCTGCACTCAGTTGATGTAGTGACGTCAGACCAAGCTTCAGGATTTCTGAACCTAAATAACCAACCCTGGCACCTCTGCCCTGGCACTATCCCTAATTAACAATCCTAACCCGAATTTTCCCGATTCTATGGTGTGACGTCACTACATCAAAGGTTCAATCTCGTAGGTACCTGATGTGGAGGGTACAAATATCGTATACCGGAGCAAATATTCTCTTGCATCAGGAAAAGTGCAATACAGTCGAAAATTCGCCATATACCGAGTTGAAATCGAGGTAAATACTAATTTTACTCCCTTCTTAATGTAATTCTATTAATTGTGCTACATAATTTGCATTTTAAAAATAAAGCAATGGAAAATTACGATACTTTGTATCGCGATGTGATCGGTTTGATACTGTGTCAAACTGTGACGTTGTCAGATTAACAATTTATGACCTTTAATGATCTGGATACATACCGTATAGCAAATCATAACGGGACATATTGCACACAAATTGTTATAACTTATATTAGGTTAATATGCACGAATTTTACAGTAAAAGCCCAATAAAGTCTTCTATAGCTCCAGTGTTGTTGAGAGTTCAGTGTCGCTGCGGGAAACAAGGGGAGGGACTAAAGCGAGGGAAAGTGAAAATAACAAATTTCAAAAGAACAATTTATATATTCGAATAAAATTTTGCACAAAATATCGAAGAAAATCGACAATGTATACCCGTGTGTTGCTGCAAGCCAGAACATGCTATCGCTCGTCTCTTTGGCTAAGTCAAAAATCGCTTGATTGCAGCAAAATCCTACCAGCGATCAATATGAAGAAAGCAAAATTCAGCAACAAACCATTGACCATTGGAACCTTGAATCCCTTGGTCAAAGAAGTTGAATACGCCGTTCGTGGACCGATTGTTATTCGTGCTGTCAAACTCGAAAAAGAACTGGAAAAGGTACTGTTTGTTAATATTGAAACATTAGCTGAAACATTAGTAAAGTTTTAATTTAAATATACGTATGTAGTTTTGAAATATATAAATTGATCAAATGTTACAATTTCAATTACTGTAATAACTTTATATGTTATAAATATTTGTAAACATATGGCAGTTTTTAAGTTTGTTGTTTTTGGAAAATTATAACATTTGAAAAATTTAACAAAAGGAATTAAAGTCATAGAATACAGTCCTTTTGATTTCAAAAATAGATGAGGCTTTTTTTCATTATTCATTATTTTCAGAAATGTGTTAAAATTGGTCGAACGTCAGTAGACCCGTTCAGTAATATACCAGCAATCTTTAAAACTAGGCTCTATATAGCCAATATTGCAAAATATAGACAAACATATTGGCTGTTTAGACTCGTTTTTGCATTATTTACAGTTCCTGACCAAAACCCATAAAAGAAAAAAATTGAGTATGTGGCATAAAGAACCATTATTAAATTTATTATCAAAAGACCGAAAATACCAAAACAATTTTAACTTCAGCAATTATAAACATTTGCATACATCATCCCATTGGGCACTCTATATTATAAGCAAACATGACGTTGTCTAGATTTCACTGCCAACACACTTTTGCCTAGCGAGTTTAAATCCTTAAAGAAAATCTTAGTACATTTAGCCCATCCACAAAGATACAAGCAGTATTCATTGAGGTGAATCAATCATGCATTAAATTATGATATTATTTCCAAAAGCATATGCTAATTTAGTTAAAAATACTCACCTTTTGTTTCTCCTAAAGTCGTTTTAAATCACCACCATGACCACAAGCAAATAAGCAATGCTTTTACATCGTCGATAATCGGATTATATGGTGTTGAATAGCACCTACGAGTGGAGTTTTGCTGTACAGGTAGACTTTACCCTTATAAAATACATGACTTCTGCGACAAGTTATAGTTTAATTAAAGTATAGATAATTCTTGAAATAAGGCCAAATAAAAAAAAAAACTTGGTTAGCGTCACTGCCCGCCTCTCGATTTCTGCAGCCTCTGAATTAAAAAAAATTTTTTTATGTAAATCTCTTTGTTTTACAGCTTAAAACAGTTTAATATTTGAAATTTTTTTCATGCTCAGACCTTCGCACTATATACTGATCGAAAGGAGCGTGTGGTCTTGGGTACATGTATACAAGGTATAGCAAAATGGCAGCCTTCGCAACATCAGTACAAAAAATATCACCGATATGGTGGAAAAACTGCCCCCATCCCCCCAAAAAATACCATTAAAAAATTAAAAAACGAGTAAAAATTTAAAAAAAACCGCCTGTCTGCCTCTGAAAATTTGTGAGAGTGTGATGCTAACCAAGTATTTTTTTATTTGGCCTAATGAAAATTTTTGAAATGATTTTTTTTGCGGCAGCATTTTGGACATGCGGGCGGAGGATGGTATTCTATGACTTTAATTCCCTGGGGCTAAAATATTAATGTATTATTGCATATATTTGTTTGCAGCAGCTATATTTTGGTAAACTACTATTACAGTAATAGCTGTCTGAAAGTACTTACAGTACAAGCTACAAAATGACATGCATTGAATTTAACTGATTTTAAAATGGAATATAATTGTAGCGATTTTTTTGAAATTACTCTGAAGTTCTTGAGGAATGAAATTACTTTTTGCAAAGGGTAATACTTGTATTATAATTATGGATTATTTCTAGAAGGATTTTACTCATTTAGGGAGCACAAAAACCTTTCAGTGAGGTTCTCAAAGCAAATATTGGTGATTGTCATGCCATGGGTCAACAACCTATCACTTTTATCAGACAGGTAAGTGGTGTAGCACTGATTTCAGCACATCAACAGGGGTACTAGGATCACAAGGGCAGCTTCCCCCGTTATGGAAGCCAGTGGGCCAAGCTAGTTCCCAAGTACCATGTAAGGTAACATAACCCCCCCCCCCCTTGCTGAATATTAGCTTAGATCTGCATTTGTAGGCAATTTTACATTTGCTGTACCAAAAGCGTGGTAATATATGGTGGCAACCTAAATTCACCCTAATATTTTGCAAAGTGTCTGTTGCTGAGTTGCCGTCAATTTCAGTACGGTACGATAGTAGTTCTAGTTACTTTTAAATATATATGACTGCAATCATAATTCATAATCATTTTTAATAATGTTTTTGTGCAATAAATAAGCAATTTATTGAGTATTTTCATGATAGGTGCTAGCAATATGTATGGATCCAAGCTTGCTGGACAGTTCACAATACCCACAAGATGTGAAAGACAGAGTGAGGAAAGTTCTTGGAGCTTGTGGTGGCGGAAGTGTTGGTATGGTATTTTAAATGTTTGTCACAGCTCTATATTATTAGCAATTTGGCAGATTTACATACCACATTTGAACAGGACCATCATATTGTTTAAGACCATGTTTGCACTATGATGCTAGACAGCAGTATATTGATTTGCAGGTACGCTATGGCAAACCACTCCGTTTATGGCTGTAAACGCAATACTAAGATAAAACTTGTTTGAACAGTGTTTTGTCATTGTTTTTTCCAGGTGCATACACTCATTCTAGTGGTATCGAACTGGTCCGACAAGATGTTGCCAAGTACATTGAGAGAAGAGACGGATATCCTTCCAATGCTTCAGATATCTCTTTGACAGGTGGAGCAAGTGAAGGAGTGAAGGTGCAATACAAGTTCACAGTTGTTCAATTCAGTGGAACAATGATCTTTTCTTTGCCCAAGTTAAAATGCTTGGTCTACATGATATACTTAAGTACATGTTTTATTTTACCCGTGTAGGAAATGATGAAGTGCCTTCAAACAGGTGGAAGTGGGAAAGATAGAGCTGGTGTGATGATTCCAATACCACAATATCCTCTTTACTCTGCTACCATCTCAGAACTTGGTGCTTATCAGGTGAGATCCTCGCTGGAGAAAATATCATAATCTTTCCAAATCCATACTATGTGGTCATATTTGCATCACGTCCTTAATCCATAGTATATTCACACTATGTCTACATACTTCCTTGCATATTGCACAATACTGTAATAGGTTTTTGCTATTTAGCATTATATGAACAGAATTTAGTTATCTGTATAAATACCATTTGTTCATATTTTTCTTAATTGTTATGTTGCATGTTATAAAAAATTTAAAACGCAATTTATATGAAATGTAAGCATTCAGACATAACTGCAAAATGCTTCGCAAGGACTGGAAATCAATCTTCTCCACAGAGTTGTGAGTTCTTTGCTGCAATTTCTCAAAACTGGTAAATTTTAGATCAACTATTATTTGGACGAGGACAATGGCTGGGCACTGGATATCAAGGAACTAAAGAGATCAGTTGACGAGGCAAGAGATCATTGCGATCCAAAACTACTCTGCGTTATCAACCCTGGAAACCCCACAGGTTTGAGGAACAATTTATGATTTTTTAATGTCACAGCTGTAGAAATTTCTTCGCTGGTTACATAAACAAATTTTTTGTTCGAATTTGTCTCCTTTTAGGACAAGTTCTTAGTTATGAGAACATTAAAGCAGTCATCCAATTCGCGAAAGAAGAAGGACTGTTTCTGTTTGCTGACGAGGTTTATCAAGATAATGTTTACGCACAAGGAGCAAAGTTTCATTCATTCAAGAAAGTGCTCCGTGATTTAGGAGAAGAATATAATGATTTCCAGTTGGCATCATTTCATTCTTGTTCCAAAGGCTACACGGGAGAGTAAGTGATGTTGTATTTACGTAATTTGGCTTACTCTAGGATAACTAAGATTAGATGTTTGGACATGTGCCTTTCCCATTTGATACCATGTCTATAGATTTTATTCTGTAGAGGTAGCTTGGGGTTGTCGATAATCGCTTTATGAGACGACAATAAAGACCTACGATTGGTTCTATTCCTTTTTTAATATCTAAAACATGCTATTTTTATACTAAATAAATGCTCTCGAAAAACAACAACGTTCCGCCATCTTGGATTCTCACACT